GAAAATGCCGGGTTGCTGGGGACATACCAAAATGTTATTAGGCACTCCATGGGGAGCACCCCCAGGCACTCTGGGCATGGCAGAGGGCATAATGGACCTGCTGACACCCTTTTGGGGATCACTCGGGGCTCCTCTAGGTGAGTTCCACTAAGTGCTATGCTCCAGGCTGCTCTTCTTCTGATGACACCAAGAAAGGGCGGAGGCATAGCCCTCCCAGGGGAGCCAGGAAAGGCTCTGGTGGCTCAGCAGCCACCAGTCTGTGCTCCCCATGGGGTGGTGGCAGCATCAGGAGAATGCACAGCCCAGTTTGGAAAACTGCCCCTGAAAAGGGGAGCAACTCCACTTGCCTGCTGGGAGCCTGGCATCAGCCCCCAGACTCAGACCCCAGGCCCTACCTGAGGGGACAGCCCAGGGCCCTGAGAAGGCAGGGCTGTCACCAGAAAGAACGCTCACGGGCTGGAGTAGGACTCAGAAGGGCCAGGTAAGGGATATGGCTCAACCAAAGCCTCCTCTATGTTACCTGGGAGCTCAGGCACACGGGATCTAGAAAGGAGTAATGGCCGGCCCCAGCCCGTAAGGACACATCAGAGCGCGGCTTCCTCCCCGTGCCATAGAATACGGTAGCAACAACCCGAGTCCAATGCTTTAGGCTCCTACGTGGGTACTTCTGATCTGACAGGCTTACCAGAGGCTGTGGACATGTAGACACGACTGAGTAGCAGAAGAGCTAACTCGTAAGCACCTGCTACAGGCAGGCAGGCAGGCAGGCAGTGCAGACACTTACTAACCATAAGGCCTACAGGTGGAAGGTCGGAGTCAAGCTACAGGAAAAGGTCAAGCCCCCTTTTCAAGACCTAGATATGGTCAGAGCAAGAATGAAAAGACAAAGCGCCAACACCAGCGTGAGTGTGGCCAATACCAGCTAGCAGATATCCAACATCAACTCCCTGCCAGGTGATTTCACCCAGTTTGGTCATTCCCCACATTCCCAAAGCAACATCATCTCAGGGCCTTCCCCACATGCTGCTTCTCAGGGAACAGTGCCCCTCCAAGCCAGGACCCCAAGTGTCAGCCTAGACCCTCTCTCCTCGTGGTCACTCAAATGCCAGATGCTCCCTTTTCTGCCTCGTGACAATTCTCTCTTCCCCTTCAGACACTCTGGGGCTGCACAGCACAGCCACAGTCTACCAGCGCTCAGGGAGATGGTGCAACAGCCCGAGGTCGGGACCCTACCTCCCTTCTTGCCCACCTCCACACTGCCACTAAAATAGTCTTCGTTTTCCTCTTTCTTTTTTTTTTTTCTTTTTAGATTTTTGCCATAGGGTACATGCACACACTTGCCAGAGACAGAGAGATATGGCCAAGTTGCAATACAACCCTTCTCCTCCATTCTCCTCTCAGGATTGTGGGTATGCACACACACACACACACACACACACACACACACACCATATGTTTTTCAAGCCACTGGGTCTGGAACTTGAAGCACCCACTTGGCCATATGGGATCAACATCCACTATGCCACCAGCTGGCCCTGCAAAATAGTCTTTCTAAAACCCAATTCTAGTCATGCATAAAGTACTTTCTTGTCTCCACTTAGCCTACAAAACAGTATGGAAACTCCATGGAACAAAAGGCCCTGCAGCCGTTTCACTCAATGAGATCTACCCTCATCACCCCAAACTCTTGCAATCTCTAAACTCTACTTTTCTCCCTTCTCTGGGCTCTGAACATGCTGCTTCTTTGTCTGTTTCCCATGAGGTTCATGCTCCTCCAGACCATCTGCAGCTTTGCTTCTCTAATCTGGGCACTCGGAAGTGATGAGTTGATTGAATGAATGAATGAATGAAGACGGGAAAGGATAAGTGAAAAATCTCACAAGGCTGTGGTATCTCCCCATTATGTCAATGAGAGAACAGATTCAGAGAGGCCAAACAACTTGCCCAAGGTCCTAGAGGATCAGTACCACCCACCATCGCCCTCTGCTGCCCCAGCAGAGTGTTGGAGGAACCAAGACAAAAGAAAGAACACAATAAAAACCCGGGCCAGGCTCAGGACAGCACAGGGTAGGGGCCAGTGCTGGCCAGAGAGGGGAGCTGGAGAATGGAGATTGTCGAAGGCTGGCTCTGAGGTGAAGCAGCTCGCAGTGAGAAAGGGCCTTCAGACCTGGGGTCCCAGTACAAAGAGCTTTCTTCCCTGAGGAACCAGAACGGGATGAGAGAAAGCCAAGGGCTGGAGTGAAGACAGGACACTATGATGAGGGTCGGGTACAGGGACAGGTGGCTGTGGTGACAAGGCTGTGTGCAGGCTGTCAAGCCTGGGATGGCTGCATGAGTCTTGAAACAGAAGGAACCTTTTCTCACCCCCAAACCCTAATGGAGACAGGGGGTGGGGGAGGATATAATCATGTATCATGGTCTCAGGAGAAATTTGATGACCCACAGGCTGGGCCTTCATCCAGCGCAAACCTCAGCTTCTAACCAAAACTCTGGGCTCCTTGAGAAGACACAGGCTTGGATAACCCTATTCTCCCTATTTACCATCTCCTACCCCCTTGTCGGAATCCTCCCCACATCTCAAAGCCCAACTCTCCACTGTGGTCCTTTCCAGAGCCTCCTGCCGCCATGATTCCCAGCAGCACTGAATGGCAGGAGCTCCTCACCAGGCCCTTGGCCTCCTGGCTTATGTGGTCTGCTCTGGACCTGAACCACCATCTCCCTCAGGCCCATGGCGATTTGAGGAGAGAAGTGAGATGGACCCTCCATCCTCCTTCCTCCACCCCCTTACTCCAGCCCCAGCACCAGCCCCACCCTCACCTGCTCAGAGAGCAGAGGTGCCCCCAGAGTCTGATGGGAGGTGCTGGGCTGTGGCTAGCAGGTATGTTCTGAAGAAGCCACCCGCCACTGCCCTACTCCAGCAGTGGGGGCTGGGGGTTAGGAACGGGGGACCAGGATGGCTGCCTGCCCTGGACAGCACCAGAGCAGCCCGGCCTTCTCTGCCTCATGCCTTGCAAGCAACCAACTCAACTTGGGGTGCGAGGAGGTGCGGAGCAGCTGCTACACAAGCCCTGATGCGGGAGGGCTGGGTGCGGTTAAACAGACAGGCGAGCTGCTTGGCTCAAACGCTGGCTTAGTTCTGTGCCCGGAGACAGGCAAACTTGGACCCAGGGCAACCAGGAGGCCCCACGTGACAACGTGTACCTGACCGTCCTCACTGGGAACTTGCAGCACTGTAGGAAGGCCTCGGGACCCCTTTGCCAGATGCCAAGGAACCTGCCTGGCCGAACCAGGATGAGCTCACCAGGTCCCCGCCTACGGGCCTCCTACCATCAGCCTGGCTCACACCTGAGGGTTGAAGTGACAGAGGTAACAGCTGACACAAGGCCACTGGAAAGCAGCAGGGAAGCTGTGCACAGCGGCCACCCCTTCCTGGGGACCACCCTGCCTGGAGGCGGACTTCCACTCCTCTTCCTGCTCTGCCGGCTCCAGGCCAGCTGCAGGGCGAGGAGGAGGAACTGGAGAGGAACCGAGGACCCAGCGCCGACAGCAGGGCCCTGGCCACCCGCTCCTCCACCCCTGGCAGCACCGAGCCCATCGTCGGGCGCTAATTAAATCCTTCTAATGAGGAAATAAGGATGCAGGAGCCAGCTTCGTCATGGCCTCCCCGGCCCACCGCCCTCGCCTCTCCATCGGACTTATCGCTCGTCACAGGATGTTTACAATAATTTTTAATTTGTGCAATTATTAATCACTTTTCTATCTGCCTCATTTGCATAATAATTAGTCATCTCACTGTTTGGCATGCCTGTGAATGACAGTGTTTTAAATTGAATTAAGATTTTAATATTCTATTTTCTTGCTTTCTTCCCCCTCCGCACGCTAATCAAAGTCAGATTTGGCAGCCAGAGGGAGGGTGGGGAGGTGGCTGGCAGGCCCTGGACTTGGCCCACTCTGCGCTCCAGGGCTGCTGCTGGCGGAAGGAGGCACTGCAGCCAGCTCACCCCCGACCGCTGCATGCCATGGGTTAACCTGTCTTGGCTAACTGAGCAGAAGCAATGCGTGAGGAGTGGGCACGGGCACCCGAGGTGGAGGGGGCCGGCAGCACCAGAGATCAAGAAAAGTACTTTCATTTTTATTTCCCCCCAAATAGGCTGCGTTTTGCAAAGGGAAGTTGGAAAGTACATTACAGGCCAGTAATTGATCCCAAGGTACAAGTCTGGGTTAACTTTGATGGCTCAGAGTCCCTGGGTAGAGAGGCAGGCTGGAGCAGCCTAAAGCCCATGGCCAGACTTCAGAGGTACTGCGAAAACAAATCTCTGAGTGGAGTTGGATCACCCTCC